GACTTTTATTAAAAATTAGTTATTAGTTATCATTTGTTATCTGTAATGCTGACAGCAAAATGAGACACTATTAAAAAAATTCTTCCCTCATTTCTACTTCCCGTTTCCAGAATAATTTTAAAATTATTTTTTAATTTTAATGAACGTTTACAGACTTAGGGTTTCCATTCATTCATTGTTGCACTTTTCCCCCTGCCCAATTAATTTTTAAAAACATTTTTAAAAATTTTATATTTTTTGTGTACCATCAAAACAGATTTGATTGATACAGGAGATTGCCCCTCCTTCTCCAGCAGAGCATCTTGGTGGATTCATACCGCATACCTCTGTGATTGTAGTGTAGCTTCTTGCCACTAGGCCACCAGAGCCCCTTCACTCTTTTCTTTGAAAAGTAAAATTCTTTCACTGTTATGCAATCCCTCCCAAGTCCACTCCACTGTGCAGCATTCGTTCTGGACTCCTGTCATGACAATAATACCTAATCATATATCCCTTTTAGACAGTTTTCTCCCTCATCTGTTTCAACGCAGTATACTTTAGGCCCTCTTTTTCAGTCTCCCCTCAACCCTGATGTCAGTCCCGTTTTACAACAGTGGCCCCATGCAGTATTTGACCTTTTGTGACTGAGATATTTCACTCAGCATAATGTCCTCCAGGTCACCCATTTTGTATAAAATATCATGAGTTCCTTGTTTTTTAATGCAGCATAGTATTCCATTGTGTGAAAATACCACAGCTTCTCTATCCATTAGTCTGTTGATGGGCACTTGGGCTGTTTCCAACTCCTTGCTATTGTGAACAAAGCTGTAATAAACATGGGTGTGCTGTTTCCTGAATAACTTTTAACTAAATATATTTTTCTTTTAACAAGTCTTTGTTCCAATATTTAAAGTTCATTCTGTAGGAACTAGTTAAATGATAAGTATATTGTTGCTAGGTGTCTGGAGTTGACAAGGACTCCTAAGCAGCTCTGTGAACAGCAGACTACTTTCCCACCTTCCCCCTCAAGACCGTCCTCAGGGTCTGGCCACACCCAGGCCCACTGCTGCCACCCCTCAGCCCTTCTCATTCAGAGTTTTCTTCTTTCTTGCTGACTCTCCACTTTCCTAAGCATGATGTCTTTTTCCAAGGACTAGCACCTTCTGACAACATGCCCAAAGTATTCTGTAAAGTTAGAGATGGCAACTCTAAAAGTTTAAAATCCCTGTAAAGAGTGCAGAGATAAATTATTTTGCATGCTTTCAGCCATAACTGAAAACATAAGGAGACTAAAAAGGTGCTCTACCTGAATTCCAGTAAATGGTTTCTTGGAAGAAAAACCAGTCCATCAAAAGAAAGGAAAACACCAAAACAGGATTGAAAGAAAACATTTATTGAATCAAAATCAATATTTCTTTTTAATATCTACAAGCCAACACTGAACTCACTTTATTCAAGAATGAACACACATGTACAAAAAAAGTATGCTTATATTATAAAAATATGTCCATTTTTATCTTCTGGGTATGAGCAGACCTCATTTTAAACAAAATCAAGGCAACTTGCTCTCTGTAATTAAACTGCTATAATTTAGTAACAAACGTGAAAGCAAATGTACTTCACAAAGAATTTTTAAAGGCCCACTGCTAACGCTGCTTGGAAATGCTGAACCCAAATCCTCCAGTTAACATTTCCACTTCATGCTGATTGGCACCATTCCGCGCCTGCACCTTGGAAAAGTACCTCTTTTAGCTAATGCAGATCACTGTTAACAAAACCCACAGGAGGCGTTGAGTCTCATCCGGATTCCCTTCCTGTTATCCTTCGTTTCCAAAATATTAACAGCCCGATGAACTGAGGTTTCTTTAATTAGCTTCCACTTAAAAATGAGATACACTATTGCAGGGGTAAGAAGACCCTCTGAGAATTAGTCCAATTTACACATGTGGGAAAATGACCTCCTTCCACACACTAAAATAGTCTCAGACTTCCCTCAAAAAATTTCTATCCAAGGTAGTATTTTAACATTTTTTTGGTATTTTCCTTACTTCTTGCATTTACTGGCACGGTCCCAGGAGGCCTGGAGTGCACTGCCATTCACAGCGTGTTGACTGTGCCTGGGAGCCCGGCGGTGGACGACACGCCAGGCTGAGGAGCCCAGCCCTGGCCTGCCCCCAACGCTGGCTGGTATATTTGGTCCTTAGAGAAGCAAAAACGATAGCAGGTTGGAAAATAAGAACAAAGTCAAATCATAAACTGAGTGAGGTGAGGGGACCATAGCTCCTTTTACTGTTGTTCTGGGAGTGTTAAGTGCAAAACTTGTGCTAATTTTAAAATGAAAATAGGGGTAGACTGAGCAGCATCAGAAAATGCAGCTCATCCTCTAAGGAGCTTGCACACAGCAGCCCCCGCAGGAAGCGGATTCTTGCCGGGCGGAATGACAATGGAACTCGGGCAAACTCCAGCGTGCACAGTCCACGCAGTGGATTAATGACAGCAGGTGAATTACAGTTTAGAGGTTAATAAGAATCTATCTTGATTACTAACCACGGACTCCTGAGAGTCCAAACCCCCTTCCTGGACTCTATCTGCTTGGCACTGACGCCAGTGAAGGCTGCAAACTGCAGAAACACAAGGATACAGTAATGTGTGTGCAAAGTACCAGTGAACAAACTTCTAAACGATAACAGGGAAATGCTTCCATGTTTTGCTTGCAAATTTAACAATTTGTGCCGTTTCCTTTTACAAGAAACTGGCACTAGGGTGAGGGGAAAGGATAAATAAAAGGCGGAAAGGAAAATGATTGCTATCTCTTCATTAATTACCTGTCTTCATAGCCTCTAAATCAATTTTCAACTAAGCTCTGGGTCTGGCATGAAATGTTAATCAGTCAAATGTGGTTAGAGGTGGCTGAATCAGGCATATGATTTAAATGTTTTCATGTTAAGGGAAGGAGAACTATCTACAGAAAATATTTGAAATTGTGTAGTATTAAAATACATCCTTCACAATTTGTGAAGGAACACCTATTCTGGAACCTGAGCAAAGGCTTCTGACTGACACCACAGAGATTCACCATCAGGCTGTTCTCCAGCAAGCAAACCGCCAGGTCAGTGTGTTGCTCTAGCAACTTGTGTGGCCCCCAAAATATATGGACCACCTGCTCCGGAAGCCTGCAGTTAGCACAGGCCGGAAGCTGAACACACTGCTACTCGGAACGATTAGGTGCCATAGCATTAAACATAAAAACAACCAAGTAAAAAGAGAAGAGAATGACTACACAAAGAAATAAACAGCAACTAGGATGGAAATGCTCACAATCAGACGGGATGAGCCGACAGCCACAACACGCAGATACAAACCACAGCTTGCCCTCACATCACAGGTCCTTGCTCTCAAAATAAATATATGGAACATTTACAACAGAATGAACGCCTTATGAATGCAAGCTTTCTTTTATTGCCATTCTAATAGAACAGACTGAAAAGTCATACTTCCAAATAAGCTACAAGTTCTCTTTTCCTGTGAAACCCACGTGACCTGGCGCCACAGCTAAACCTTCTCATCTAATAGCAGCAGCATTGTCAGCTCATGGTGGCGCAGACACTCATCTCTGGCCCCCTGTGGGCTCCTGTACGAGGCAGCCAGGAAAGCATGCCAAGATCCACCCTCCTGAAGTTTCAAAGGAACGAAAAGGATCATTGTGCTTGTGGGTCTCAGACCTTCCAAAATATACATAAACAGAGACAAGCTGACAAATACTAGTAGATCCTTGCTTACTGATAAAATCATAAGGCGGAAGGCTGGAAGTGGAAAGAGAAATGTTTAAAATGGGGGTGGGGGAAAGAATGGTGTGCGCATTCACAAAGGAAAAAAAAATCATGCTAAGATCAGGTCCATATTGGTTTAAAAACTGAAAATTTAGCCACAATCCAAAGAACTCTGTCCATGAGTCCGAAGGCATGCATGCCGGCCGAAGGGAACGCAGTACGCATCCGACGACAGCTTCTTCAAAGCAGAACAGGGACGGTTCACGGGAGCGATCACAAGAGGGCAGGCAGGACGGCAGCACACTTCTCTTTTATAATTAAAAAAAGAAGAAGAAAAAGCAATCACAAGACAAAAAATGTAAAGAGTAATGGAAAGAGAAAATACAGGAATTCATAATGACCTATAAAATCAAGAGAAAAACCCAAAATTACTTCATGTTTTCAAGATTTATCTTCTTCTTTTTTTAAAAAAAAGAAAATATTTGCCCTTTTAAAAAAAGCCATATTTTTAATTTTTTTAAGTTTATAATGAAAAATTGTCACTGTCCACTAGGGCACCCACAGAAGCATAACCTCAGCCGAAGCGTACTCTTTACCCACTGCCTAAAGACCTAAAGCTCTCACACGCAAAGAACTTGAAGTGAATACTGGTCAGGGTCATTTTCTGAAAGGTTTGGCTGATACTCCCCCCCAACCCCCCTAAATTCACAATTAGTGAGAGAATAAACTATTTTCTTTTCAGCTGAAGTCTCACATACCTGTCTATGGTGGTGAGGTTTGCCTGTTATAGACGCCCATCTGTTCCAGTGGGGTCTTGTCTACCGTGGGGGTATCTATTGTGAAGGGCAATCTTTGGAGAGGGGCCCGTCTATGGTGAGGGCCGTGTGTTGTGGGGACTGTCCAGTGTCGAGGAAAGTCTGTGGTAGGAGCTGCTATGGTGGGGGTCTGTCTATGGTGGGAGTGTCTCTTGTGGAGGGATGACTGTGGTGAGGGATCTTGTCTGTGGTGGGGGTTTGATTGTGATGGGGATGTCTGATGTGCAGGGCTGTCTGTGAGGAGGGGTCTGAGGTGCGGAGGGCTGTCATTGGTGAGGGGTCTGTGGTGAGGGGGTCTATTTGTGGTGTGGGTGTCTGTTGTGGGAGGCTATCTGTGGTGTGGGTGTCTGTGGTGGAGGTGACTTGTAGGGGCTATTTATGGTGAGGGTCTGTCTGTGGTGGGGGTCTGGACAGTACTCACAGGCAGCTCCCAGGGCTATCCGGCCTTTGTGTCCACCAGCTGCATCTGCACATTGGCGGCCATGCCACCTCCATAGCCCCCCTTGGACTGCATCTGGTTCTGAATGGAGCTAACCTAAAGCAGGACAAGAACAGAGGAAGGTGAAAAAAGGAAGCCAGAAACTGGGTCAAATGCAAATAAGTGATCCTTTTCCCAATATTTTAACTAAGCTGCTTTGTTCTTTTCAGAAGTGCGTTTCAATGTAAAGTTTTTGGTGTGGGCTTAGTAACTGAAACATTTTTGGCCACTACTCTTTCAACTCTCTCCTTTTTCTACTTCACAGTTACTAAAAGCCTGTTGTAAAATTCAGAAAGCACTTGGTAACATCTCAACATTCTCAACCTCAAGAATCTTAATTTGCAAGACAGCATCCACACATGACCACCTCCATTAAACCAAAATCAGAAACAAGTGTGAAAAGAAATAGGATCAGAAAAAGGTAAACCTCTCCGAAGCCCACGTGGTAAAATGTGTATACATGACACAGTCTGACAGTCACAGGGAGTCCAGAGATCTGAACTGTGGTGAACTGTAGTCCAAGTTTATGTATTCACTGGTGTCATAACTGGGTGAGTTATTCTCACGAAACACTGGGCTTCATTCATATGTGGGGTATTTTCTTATATGAGAAATAATGACGGTTGAGTGATTTTCTTCTTTTTAAATGTATCCCCAGACTGCAGGACAGGACTAAATCACGGAGTGGATGCTCACAACCTGGCTGCTGACAATAAGGCACAGAAAGTCATCTGCAAGCGGTGAATGGCTTTTATTTTATCATTATTGCTCCAATCTTAGTAGATAAAGACTAAAGGCAGCTGGGAAGCAGGGAACCAGGCTAGATGGCTCAGGAAAGGACCACCAATAGCAAGAAAGTACTGGAGGTGAGAAGGGTTGGCAAGCCTGTACCTGGCAGTCCAGTGTCATGGAATTGGCTAAAAGGGCCTCACGCTTCCAGGAGCCTGGGGCTGGGAAAGGTGGATGGCCATCACTGGTTTAGAAGGTACTACGGGGCACTTGCCATTTGAAAATGCATGATGTGTTAGTTGCTTTACGATGAATGGTTCTCAATCAATAAAGTTAAAAAACTTGAGTTTAAAATAATGCTGCTGTTATCGTGTACTGTAGAGTCAGAATTGATCCACAGCTCCAGTGGGTTTTCAGAGGCAGTAAATCACATGGGAGAAGACTTTCTATCCTTCTCCTGCAGAGTAGCTGGTGGAGCAGAACCATGTGCCTTTGGGAATGCAGTGCAGCTTCTTAATACAAGGCCAACAGAGCTTCCAAATTATGCCAGTCAAATTTGGAATAATGCTAGAAAGAAAGAAATTCACAAGTACACTAATCTGCTAAATTTACTTATGTGGAACATCTTACTACAATAGCATCTGAGAAAGTGTTGTTTCTGTATTATTTATATTTAATATTGATCAAATGAGAAATTATGAAATTATGAAAGTATCTATACTGGGCAAACAATATCTAACACAACAGTGTTCTATTATTAAAATTCAACCTCACTGCTGTCGAGTTGGAGTAGAATCAGAGCTGACCCTCCAGCAGGTGTTTGGGGGCTGTAAACGGTATGGGCGGAGACTGCCAGCTTTCTTCTGAAGAGCTGCTGATGGGTTTGAACCAGTGGAAGGTGCAGCCTTGTTAAAAGCTCAACTCCCTATGGACTAGGCCACTAGATGTAATAAGGGGACTACAGAAAGTCTGTATGGACCCATCCAGTCCTTAAGAAACGGGGGTGTGTGTAGAGTGTGTGTGTTGTGGGTGTGTGTGTGTGTGTAATCCATTTCAGCAAACAGAGAAGGCGGCCTGGACCTGCCTGGCTGCGGCCTCGGAGTTGAGCTTTGAGCAGACACAGAATTCTACCTAAACTTAAGACTAGCAAAAAAGTACACCCACCACAGATTTAAAGGGAAGCAAATAATGGCTAGGACTCATAAAAAAAATTCTGAAATGGGCATCAACAAGGCTTAAAAATTTATAAACATCAAGAATTTGTTCAAATTTGAATTTGAATTTTGTAAATAAACTAGTAGAAAAAGTAAAAAACAAACACACACACACAAAAAACAGGGCTGGTCTAGGAAAAGCTTTAACATAGTGCTCAACCTGCCTATAAATGTATCCCTTTGGTAAAATTAAAAAGATATTATGTTATAAAAAAAGGAAAAAAATTATACACATCATCAACTCAAAAGTTTAATTTCTTATATACAGTTTAAGTAGGGGGAAAGACAGGTAATGCTGAAAAAGACAAACCATACACATAACAAATCTGAAACCATTCACTGTATACACATCATAACCACAGTAACAAAACTAACAGCGTCTCATTTGGTTTCCTCACTTCCAGCTGATCCAGGAAAGAAAGGAACTCAGTTATATTTTGACAGCACCAAGACACCTCTTATACTTCCACAAAGCCAGTCAAGTGAAACAAAGTACTTTTCCTACAGATTTAAAACAAACATGTCGTTTCCTTTCCAGAAAGCTAAAAATGCCATTCCTTTGCTTACCCAGTAACTGCAATGACAAGCTTGTTTGCAGTATCCAGGAAGTCCATCCACCTACCTCCGCAGTCCCTGTTCTGCTGTGAGGCTGTGGTTAACGCTGTCCTCTGAGTGGGTATACAATGGGTCATGGTTTGTGTTTACAAAGCCTTCCTGGTTTTCTGGTCCCAAACACTCTGGGTAAGGCAAACACTCCTGCTTACTTCAGGAAAGCGACCACAGGCCCTCAGTGCTCACTGGCTTCAGGGCAAAGTGAACAAGGCAGAGTCCAGATAAGAATTCCTATTTGGCAATACTTCTGTGAGAGTGCTCTTTTTTTTTCCTTTTTCGCCCCCTTTTATTTGTGTGTACCGTCAAATCGGGTCTGACGGGTACAGGAGGAGATTGTCCCTCCGTCTCCAGCAGAGTATCTGGTGGATTCGAACTGCATACCTCTGGGATTGCAGTGCAGCTTCTTGCCACTAGGCCACCAGGGCTCCCTGAGAGTGCTCTATTTTTCTCTTAGATAAAAATGAAGGAATAAGAGGGGGTCAGGTGAAAAATGTACACTCTATTATCCCTGAAAGCTCTGTCTAAAAGACAAGGAGATGTTCCTTCTTCTGATTTTTCAGTTTTGATAATGTTTTACTACTTAGTCCTGAAAGGATGAGGACATATCTGATTCCTCAGTTCAAGAGCACGGAACTTAGAAAAATTAAATCAGAAATATTCTAACATTACTGGATAAATCGATTATCTATTTTATAGATAAATATAATAAAGTTTGTAAAAGGCAACTAACTGAACTCAACTCAATCTGAACTCATGCTGTCTAGTTAATTCCCAACTCCCAGCAAGCCCACAGGACAGCGGAGAACTGCGACGTAAGACCTCTGGACCGTAAGGCTGCGGAAGCACACAGCCCTGTCTTTCTCCAATGGAGTGGCTGGTGGGCTCACACCCCTGGCCTTTTGTTTAGTATCCAAATGCCTTACCCACAGCATCATCAGATCACAAAACCCCCAAAAAATATTATTAGAAGGATGATATCCAAGTGCTTGGGTGACAGTAGGGAAAATTCAGGGGCATTAACCTCCATTCTGAACTCAAATCCTTTAAAACAGAAAGTGTTTATTTAGAGGAAAGGGAGCTACAGAAAGCTTTCGTACAAAAACCGGAAACATGTAACATGGCAAATGCTGATTTTAGTTGCGAGTTAGTTTGTCATCATTTATGTACTTCTCCAGCACTCAGAGCCTATATGCATATATGCTAACTAGAAACTTACTCGGCACATTATCATCATCATAAGACATGTTCTCACTGGCCTTGCAGGGCAGGGCCCGGGCCCCGCATGTCACCACTATACACTTACTGAGTTCATCCCACTGAACAGGTCTCCGGATCCGACGTGAGCCGTGTGCACGAAGTTTGTCGGCTCTCCAATCATGCTTCGGTCAATTCGCCGCCGCCTTTTCTAAAATATGGATAACAAAGAATTGAAAAACGTATTAATAAAACACTTATTTTCAAGTATTACACATCATAAATCATAAGTGGGTGCAAAAGTTTGATAAATTTGGCTAAGACAGAAAAATACCAAATCTTGGCCTTTCATACTTACTTCTTATGATAAAATCTCTAAAGACAGACAGACACACACACACAAGAAAATGGCTGGAAATGAAAAATAGGTTAGCATTTAAAACTTTGAATAATAATAATAATAATAATAATAACCACCACTTACATTTTTCTTTTTTAAAGAAACAATTTAAAGAACTGAGACAAATGTAAAAACATAATTTATTACCAATTTTCATCAGCAATAAACACTGTGTGTCATGAACTTAACACTCATTTTAAATATTATTACACATTACTTTCTACCTTTCAGTTAACAAATGGACTGTATTTTGATGTCAAGTTATTACTTAAGAGCACAGTCACTCACTCTGCATGGAGGAGTGCTGGGCTTGGTCTACCCACTGTTTCCTGGTCTTTTCTGCCAAGGTAACAAACCTCTAGCCTAACTTCCACCACCAGGCTGGGCCTTCCCGACAGCCACTCCAACCACATGCCAGAGTCTGCTTTCTAGGAACTTCAGCTACCAGCTGGAGCACCTGCTATTATTAAAAAGGTGTTCCACCTCCTCATTTGAGGTACTGCTGCCGTGTTTCATTGATTACAGAACCGGTCTAAGTTTCTGCAGTCTAACAGGCAGAGGTTAGTGGCCAGGGCTGGGTTGGTGGTCTATTATGACTTCTGCTTATCTTCGCTGATTCTCCTTCAAAGAGTCTATTACTGTTTAAATGTCAACAAAATCAAGGGAAATGTGGGTATGCTCTTATAATGAACACTAAAAATCTTCCGAGAGATCCCAGTTAACAGCTCTTCAAAGTTAGAACAAAATTTTCTAAATGTTATAAAAACAAAGTACATGTGAGAATATCTGAAACAATAGGATACTAGTAACTTTAGTTCACAACATACTATTTCTGCACTTCTTGAAATGATTTTTATTCAAATGCTTTTGTCTTCCCAATGTATGCTCAAAAGTTTAATTAGCATCCCATACATTCATATATCAATCTGTTTTAATATTGTTTTATTTTCCAAATTAAAATGATTTTGTTGTGTTGGAACTCACAGCTGTCTATGCATGACAGAATGAAATCCTGCCCTAGCCTCATAAACTCTGCATGTGGCCATTACTGCAGTCATTGTGTTAGTCTTTTTTCTTTCATGCACTGCTTCTTTATTTTTTATACTAGATTATTTACAAAATCCGAATACATTGTTTTTAAAAGCAGATTCTTCCAATTTCCCTCACCCCACTATTTCATCAAATTGTAACCCATGATCCCACGATTAATGCCCCCTCCCACATCCTCACCCTTCTGCTTCCATCCCCACCATACTTATCTTTCAATAGTGGTTTTATATAGTATTTGTTCTTGTGGGACTGGGTTCACTCAGCATAATGCTCTTCAGTCCCTCCCAAGTTAGGTAATAATTTACAAAATCACTGCTCCTGCAGCATTCCATTGTGTGCACGTACCATAACTTCTCAATCCATTCCATTGTGGTTGGACATATGGGCTGTTTCCATGTTCTTGCGATGATAAATAATGCTACTATGAACACTGGTGTTCAAGTCTCTTGAGCCTCAATTCTCGTTCTCTCAGGGTATAGTCCAAGCAATGGAAGAGCTGGGTCATATGGAATTTCTATGTTCAGCTTTTTGATTCTTATTTCATTGTCCAGCTCTCAGATACACAGCAAGTAATCAGAAAAGACCATAGCCTAAAGCAGATGCACTTTAGTCCTCAAACTGACATCATTACTCCTCAATTTGGAGAGGTCCCTAACTGCAGATTTTCCCAGTGCAATGGGTCTCCTTTATTTCCTGACTGCTGGCACCACGGGTGTTAATTGTGGATCCAAGCAAGATGAAGCTGCTGACAGTCTCAATCTCATCTCCATCCATCATGACTCTGTTCATCTTGCTGGTCTAGTGATAAGAATCTTTGTATTCGTGATACTGAGATGCAATCCATACTGAAGGCTATATTCCTTGCTCTTCTGCAACAGGTGCTTCAAGTCCTCCTCACTTTCAGCAAGCAAGGTTGTATCATCTGTGTAACGCAGGTTATTGATGAGTCTCTCTCCAATCCTGATGCCACACAGAGTCCAGCTTCTTGGATAATTTCCTCAAATATATCATTCCTTTATCTTTTAAAATTATGTTACTACAAGTCCTTTGCTAAAGGATTCATAAGATTATCTCTTGGAGCCATAATACTCTTTGGGATCACATTAATTAGGATAAAACAATATTATAAAATTTAGTTTCTTTGCTTACGGTTTTTAACATCCATCCCCTTCCTTTGCATTTCCACCACAAGCCAAAAGAAGTCCTCCTACATTCTCTCGTCCAGGACTATGGTAAGCACAGAAGATGCCAACAGCTGTTAGTCTTTGCCCTTGACTACCAACAAACTAGCTTCCCCAGCGGAGATGATGACTTTTCTCAGCACTTGCATGGGACAAATTATTAGTGAGTCTTCTAAGCTCCTGATACACAAGAGATATGACCAGAAAAGGGCAGGCCTCTGGGTTAAACAGAAAGGATAGTGGTTATTATGTTCTGAGGGACAGTAGACACCCTCCACAGCTTTGTGCGGTCAGTCTGCAGAAGGAAGCTACCCGCTCAGCAGCAGGACACACTCAGACAGATGAGGGATCAGTGAATTCTAAGAAGTACTTCCCAGCTAGTGGGGGTTTGAGCATTCTTTGCTCTGGGAATACGGAGAGCAACTTTGAACAAGTCTGAATCTGCCCTATGTCCTAAAGCTGCAGAGGTCTGCTTGAGGACTAGCATGAGGCTCCCCTTTGCCCACATCTGCATAATAACTGTTCTGCTCCAACAGATGATGTTAGGAGACGCACTTGGCGCATCCACCTCACCAAAAAAAATGTTTCTGAAATGAACGGGTCTTAGTTGTTTGTTGATTTGTCTACACATAGATAGCCTTGGAAAGAGAAATTAATTAGACCCATAAATAACTGTAATATGCTGTGTGTCATGCTGATTCCCACCCACAGCAACCCCATATGACTGAGTTTCCTAGGCTGCAACCTTTATGGGAGTCGATCAGCAGGTCTTTTCTCCCATCATGTGGGAATTGAGAATCACACTTTCTTTTCAGTACCGACGGTTCTCGGAACCATCCAATCTAACCTTTTTTGTAGCTATGAAAGTGGAGGCTTCTCATTGTTCCTTCAAGGCTGTCCAGGAACTGAAAGAACTGTGCTGTACAGTAAAGAGTAGAGACAACAGAAACGCTTAGGGGGTGATAACCAGACCACATGGGCTTTGTGTTCAAGCAAAGGACTGAGGCGTCCTGTCTACCTAGAGCAAGGGTAAAGCACTGAAAGGCTGTTGAAATGGGGGTTGTCGTGGTTAAATGTATGTAATGGCTTTGTCCACAATAGCTACAGGCAGAAAATGGGCTAGTGGGAGTCAAAAGGGGGAAGTCATGCAAGGGAAATAAGATGAGCTTTTTTCCCCCAAGTGGCAGAGATCGAAAGAAAGGGACAGAGACAAGAGGCTGTCCACTTAGATAAAATCTTCAGCTTTTGGTTGTTGACTGGATTTGGTGAGTGAGGAAAGAAATACTTGTGATTTGAGTGCAGTGTTATGTACTTCATTGAGGTGGCTAACACTGGAGGGACAAGATTTTAGGAAGACGTTAAGACATCCTTTCAGATGAATTTGAGATACTGATGGTATATTCAGCAGGCAAGGGGAAGAGTTAAACAGGTACACTGCAAGGCAGGAAAAGCAGGAATGCTTTACTGAAAGTGTCAAAGCAGCAGGAAGGAGGCCACATTGCGAGCCGGGGATGGTCAATGAGGATGAAGAGTCAGCATCGTGGTGGTCAGTGGTCGGAGGAGTGGAAAATACAACAGAGGGAACTGAGGAGAGGCTGGAAGCTGTAGAAATGGAGACATCAACCTGAAAAGTCTGGTCTTCTGGATGAGCAGAAGGGAGACAGGGCAGTAGATGAAAGGAGAAGAAATGACAGACTGATTCTATTTTTTCCATTAAGAGTGGTGACATTCGATCACCATTAAATTCTGATGGGAAAGATTCAATAAAAGAGGAGAGAAGGGTGAAAATAAAAAATATGGAGAGGAGAGGCTCCGGAGGAGGAAGGAAAGGAAGGCTCGGAACATCAGGCTCCTAAAACTCTCCACCCTCAAGGAATCGAACACCAAGCTCCCAGGGATAACGGAATGTTTTAAAACAAAACCACACCATTGTCCAAGCATAATGTGGACACTGAAAAGGGGCAATATGTGCTGTGCTGCATTAATATTACACGACTGAGACAAGATTTAAATCATGGGCAACAGGGGAATTCCAGAGTGAGGCTTCTGCACAGAAAAACAGGAAGTGGTGCGCTCTGCCGCCATGGGTATTAACCTTTGTCAGGAGCAGAGAGTCACCATTTTTCCTGGAAATATTTTTTTATCCTTTATAGGGAGCTTTATTCACATGGTCAAAATCTGAACGATTCTTTTGCTTCTTAGTAACTGTCATTGTGTATAAACTCAAAGACTGGAATAAACTCAAAAGACTGGCGTTTATACAGAGGAATGAACAGTTGTAGTAAAGTGGAGGGGTCTGGGGAACATGTCTCTTCTCTTTTCTACACAACTATTGCTGAAGTGGGTAAGGAGCTGTGCTGCCAAGCCAAAGGCAGGTGGTCAGAATCCAGCGCTGTCCCATGAGAGGAGGGTGGGTGGTCTTCTCTGTGATTTACTGCTGCTGAAAACCCCCTAGAGGGTCAGCTATGAGTCGGTTCCGAATGGATAACACATAATCCCACCACGAAGCCACTGCAATGAAACCCTTATTAAAGATCATGAGTGAATAATTTGGAATAAGGTTTTCCTACTGTGTGGACC